ATTATAACCTTATTTTATTTATTTAAAATCTTCGATAAATAAAATAAAAGCATCAATAGTCTAAACAAAAATCTATGATTTGTTTAAGTATTCTGTTATTCATTATTCGTCTTTATTTATTTCTCTTTCTAGGTCGAATCTTCAATACTTTGAAATAATATGTTTGATTAGAGAAAATTTTCTTGTTTCATCATGTTTTTAATAAAACCAACAAAATCTCATATACACCATCTGGATATCAAAAGAATGTGTCTTCAATATCTTATCTAATCAAATTTTAGATCATTTTCCGATCGATTATCGACATTGATATTTTCGAGAATCTCTTAAAAAAGACCTGAAGAAATCAATTTTTTATTTTTTAACAAAATCAAAAACTCTCGAATTGAATCAAAATGAAATTGTTAGTTAAAGAGTAACTCAATTACTCGAACGATTTTACGATTATAATAAAGGACGTGTAGTACGTAATTTGTTTCTCTGTTTTCATCATAGTAACTCACAATATGAAAATTGAAATTAAGATACATTCGTATTGTTTTTAAACTAAATAGATCAAATTCAATACTATCTTTAATAGTTTTTTTATGAGCTTTATTCTTAAAAGAAAAAGATTTATCGTATATTCACATAGGGTTTCACAGAATACTACACCCTGTGTATAAGTATATGACTAAATCATTCTTTTCCTTAGATCAGAAGATACATGAGTTATTATATATATACATGCTTTTGAATATTAATATTTTAATAGTTAGTTGATGATCATAATTACGAGCACAAATTGGTCTTATTAATCAAGAACCAGCTCTTATGATGGGTCTTACTATTGTCGAAAATATATCATATGGTTGTTGATCACATACATTTACTTATGAAGATATCATTAATGCAGCTAGGCGAACTCATTGTCATAACTTTATAGAAGCATTACCACAGATATGTTTCACTCTTTTTATATACTCTAATACAATAAAAAGCTGCAATTTTTATTTATATGACATGTTCAACTTTGAAAAGAGGCTGTTTTATATTAAAAAAAAATGATTCTTTTATTAAATTTTAGGGCTATGATACAGCTGCAGGATTGCATGGAACTTCATTTTTATCTGGAGGCCAAAAACAGCGTATTGCTATTGCACGAGCTCTTTTTCGTAATCCAAAAATTCTATTACTTGATGAAGCAACGAGTGCGTTGGATGTACATAATGAAAAGGTAAATAAAATTTGTTTGTCTATTTCTTATAATATACAAATTGACAAAATATTAGATCGTATACGATGTTTGACTCTATTATTCATCTCTTGCTAAAAACTAACAATGTAATTCATAGTAGAGAGTAGAGAAATTTGAGAGTACTGAATAAGTAGAAATTAATTAATAGTCAAAAAATTTCTATGTTATTTCTAATCTTTTTCAGCTTGTTGAAGAATCGTTGAATGCTGCACGGCAAGATAATCCATCACGAACTGTTATTATTGTTGCACATCGTCTTTCTGCTATTCAATCATGTGATCTTATTTGTGTTCTTGGTCCTAATGGACGATTACTGGAAAGCGGTACACATGCGGAATTAATGGCACATGGCACTGCTTATCGTAGATTTGTACTGGATCATATGTGAGAAATAGAATGACTATAAACTTTATTGAAAGTGATACATATGTTATCTCTCAATCTTTGGCATAAAAATGGATTGAGACTTGTTAGTCTTTAATGTATAATATCATTTCTTAATTAAAAAAAAATTCATATTAATATCATTAAATGACAATGATTCATTTAAAAATAAAGGATAGTTCCGTGTATTAAAGCCAAAGTAAATGTAGATTAGGTCAGATAAAGTCTAAGAACTAATTATGTATTATGAATTGAATGTTGCATAGTTTTTATATTTTTACTTATTGTTGAGAAGATCACGAATTCGAATAATATATATTTATTTAATATAATATAATGATTTATAAATATAAAAGATCATCAAGTTTAGAAATAAATATTCTGTATTCCATTAAGTCACTTGTCAAGAATTATATATTTTTAATACAGAGTATCATGCAACAAAATAAGCGATAGAATTAAAAAGAAAGATTAATTTTGATATTTATATTAATGAATATTTGCCACGACGGAGAGCGAAATCACTTGAACTTATCACGAAGAAACCGCAAGATCATCCATTGCACTCTTTTGGTTACCTTGTCGTCTAGAACCTCATTCACACTTACAATTTATTCATATTCGTCCTAATTCTTGGGATTAGTCGTCGATTTCTTTTTCAATTAACTAACAAACTAAAATAAAAGTCAATATGGATACAAAGAAAATATTCATTTTACTTTAAATTTCTATTCAAAAGTTTCGTTTTATTAATTTTGTCGCTTAAGATTATTTTTAATAGATTGATTATCTTATTTATTTTTGCTAAGATAAATAACTTTTAATTGGCATATTCTTATAAAATGCAAGATTATATAATTATTCATTCATCAGCAAATAAAGAAAACAAATAGTATTTTTCATACATCAAACACGTTTAAAATAAATCATAGATTCTCTATCACATTTCCTATACGATTGTAGAGTACTAAATATGATTATATCAATGAGCCGTTCATAACTGAAACAGTCAATAAGGAAATTTGTTTTACTTCATCCTCGAGTCATACATATCAAGGAGAAATGGAAAGAAAAAATAAAAATAATTTATATATAGACATGTACTTGAATAGGTATTTCTCTCGAGTGCTTTTAAACTTCTATGAATGAATGAAAACATGGATTGAGAAATTCTCTGTGTTATTGTTTTGGGTGTTTTTCCTATGTAGAGAAGATTTTGGAAGATAGTCGCGAAATAATCGGTTATTTTCATACGATCTTAATCAATAATTTTAACAGTAATAAGTACATATAAATCGACTATTTTCTTTTTATAGGTTGTAGGGATATACTTTAATGAAAGCAATGTGACCGACGCATTTCTGCTTGAGGTCACACAATTTCTCTTTGATAGGAGAATAGGATACAGCCGTCAAAACGTTTCATTTGTACCATTAAATCATATGTATTATTTGATGTTTTTCATTCGACTCAATCAGGAAAATCAAAATACAGTAAAACCTCCCAAAATGAACACCTCTCTATAATGAACACCTCTGGTTTGAACACATTTTTTGGTCCCCCCGATCGATTTTTGCTGTAAATAGACCTCCGCAAGATGAACACCTCCAACCTCTGAACAATGAACGCTTTTTTTAGTCCCTTCTGTAAAAGAAAACCTCTATATAATGAACATATAGTGATTAACTGTACGTTTTTCTATGAAACACAGAGCTGAAAAAATATGCTGTTCATATTAAGGAAATGATAAATCAGTTTTTGACGGTCAACTCATCATAACAAGCTCTGTCGTATGTATGGATCAAACAAAACAATGTGATTAATCGGCGATGAGTTAATCGATTCTATATGATAGGACAACATGCATTCTATCTTCGATTGTAAAATGAAACAGAGCACACACGTTAACTTTGTCTATAAAAATGCAGTTAATTAGTGAAAATGAAAATAACACTTCATATCGTACAATTACTGCGAAGTACAAAATCTCGATCGGTAGTATCTCAATTACCGACTTTTCTTAGAAAATATAAATAGATGTGAATAATAGACAAAAATGCTTTCTTTTACTAGTTTTTGTTTAAAACAAAATAGATCTTTAATATTTTAAAGATAAAAAAAATGTTTTTGTTTTATTTTTCACTTGATAATTGAATAAATATGTGAAATAATTGAAAAGGATAGTGTTTTAGAATTAATAGTAATAGATTTTAATATCAAGATGCA